AGCATAGGCTCTATTTTGTTTTATTTGAAAAACATTACTTCCAGCACATCGTGCTTAGATATAATTGTATTATATTTCTGCTCTGCATAATATGTCAGTTGTGAAGAACACAGTAATACTCTCCATTAGTGGGTTTCATTTGGTTAATGACATACTCTACCGTTCAGAAGTTTGGGGTCACTTAGAAATGTCCTTGTTTTCGAAAAGAAAAGCACTTTCTTTGTCCATTAAAACAACATCAAATTGATCGGAAATACAGTGTAGACATTGTTAATGTTGTAAATGGCTATTGTAGCTGGAAATGGCTGATTTTTAAAAAATGGAATATCTACATAGGTGTACAGAGGCCCATTCTCAGCAACCATCAGTCCTGTGTTCCAATGGCACGTTGTGTTTGCTAATCCAAGTTTATCATTTTAAAAGGCTAATTGATCATTAGAAAAGCCTTTTGCAATAATGTTAGCACAGTTGAAAACTGTTATGCTAATTAAAGAAGCAATAAAACTGGCCTTCTTGATACTAGTTGAGTATCTGGAGCATCAGCAATTGTGGGTTTGATTACAGGCTCAAAATGGCCAGAAACAAAGAACTTTCTTCTGAAACTCGTCAGTCTATTCTTGGTCTGAGAAATGAAGGCTATTTCATGCGAGAAATTACCAAGAAACTGAAGATCTCGTACAACGCTGTGTACTACTCCCTTCACAGAACAGCGCAAACTGGCTCTAACCAGAATAGAAAGAGGAGTGGGAGGCCCCGGTGCACAGCTGAGCAAGAGGACAAATACATTAGTGTCTAGTTTGAGAAACAGGCGCCTCACAGGTCCTCAACTGGCAGCTTCATTAAATAGTACCCGCAAAACACCAGTCTCAACGTCAACAGTGAAGAGGCGTCAAGGACATTTCTAAGTGACCCCAAACTTTTGAACGGTATTGTACATTTATGTTGAAATAAGTCAACCCTGTCTTGCTCATGTCTTCAAAAATGAAAGTCTACCAAGATTGAAGTCTGATGAACTTGAATAAATGTCATCATGACATTTGACACAAGATCTCTCCCCCTAGCCTGGGTCTTAACTTGGGGGTGTCACTTAGGCCTCCTGTAGCTCAGTTGGTAGAGCATGGCGCTTGCAACGCCAGGGTTGTGGGTTCGATTCCCACGGGGGCCAGTATGAAAAATGTATGCACTCACTAACTGTAAGTCGCTCTGGATAAGAGCGTCTGCTAAATGACTAAAATGTAAATGTGTCACTCCAGCCAGAATCATACACAGGCCTACAGAGAGTGGAAAAAGAGTGTCATGTTGCACCAAATTCCATGACCATAACATTCTTATCAATATTTTTACTCGATTGTAGGCCTTGTTGCTACAGAGCTTTTTGGCACCCAACATGGCGCACTCAACAAATACATGAGCATCACTAACACCTTCAGAGTTGACTGATATCAACATAGCCTACCATTGCATCAATGAAGTGAGCCCCTGTTCGATTGTATTGGTATTGTTTTATTCACAACTTTGCTTACATTGAATTGCATGCTAGACAATGTAGGCATGTCTGCACATTAGCAGTCAGTAATTTGCACAGTAGTAGACCTAATATCCTATCATCTTAAAAATGCATTGAAAGCAAGATTGTGTTCCACCCTGTGTTCTCCTTCACTCCCAGTTTGTGACTGTAGCCTAATTGGGCCGAATCAAATCCAAGTTTATTTGTTGCGTACACAGATTAGCAGATGTTAAAGCAGGTGCTGTGAAATGCTTATGTTTCTAGCTCTGTGCAGTGTGTCTTAACAGTACAAACTAATACACAAATCATCAAAAAAAATAAGAAATTAAGAAATGTTAGTCCGAAATATAAATACGTTCACCACAGATATTGTGGGGAAATTCTAAAGGGGTTACAATTACTAAATGTAACACAGTTTGCCCTGTTTTTTGGTCCAGATTTCCAACGTAATGGAAAGATAAGGCCTAGCTTTTCCAAACTTAAGGCACACAGAAGTCGAACCTTTGCATAAACCATGCATTGATTTTAGTGGAAGATGTTTTGAAAACATTTGAATTGTGTGAATTTTAAGTTGGTGTTCAGCCATTTGAGAATGTGATTTATTCCTAGATCATGATAATGATAGCCTAGGCTAAGTATATGGGGTCTTTTGACCAATGACATCAGATTTTTTCACATCAGATCTTTTTCAGAGCTGATCCGATTGCTCAAAAGACCAATTAGTGAAAAAAATATCAGAATTGGGCTGGCCATGTAAACGCAGCTTTACTGTGATGGGGGAATAAATCGATACGGTTACATATTGGGATATTATTTTTAACGAGATGTATCGTTTTGACATTATCTCAATATTACTTTTACGCTAGTTGGCTGTACCTGCGCCAAAACTCTGCATAGCTTGTTCTCCATCTTTTTAAATAGGGATCAAAACTCGTTTTCTCATGGCTCTCTCTTGTCCCTCTGCTGACATGGTGAGCAATATGTTGGGAACATCGAATCGCAATAAAATCACAGTATCAAATCGCAATACATATACAATTGTGAGAATCGCAATGCATATGGTATCGGCACCTAATTATCGTGATAATATTGTATCGTGAGGTCCCTGGCAAATCCCAGCTCTACTGTGTTGCATTGCATTACATGTGTCAAAGTTTTGAAACATTTAAGTTTAGAAACCCAAGTACAAGAAACATTGGCAGGATTGACCAAAACAAATGTAATTTTTTACATTCCTTAGAAATCATTACGGCTTAAACTGGAAAAACACATTCTGTGCGAATTTGGGCTATGTTTTGAAGAATGTACTAACTCCTCTTCATAGCTTTCTCACTGTATGTTGTGTTGCTGGGGTGATTGTAGCTATTTGCCCTTCAGGCTCACTGACACTGAACCAGTTTCAGATGGAGCTATGAGCTCATCCAGCCTACATGTTATCTGCTTCATTGGTTTCCAGTTATTTAAAAGTTTGAATGGCCTATGGAGATGGTGGTTTAACAGCATTCCTCAATCATATAGCTGAATTGTTATTTAGCAGCTGTGAGCAGTGTTCGTCTCAAGTTTGCAATGCTTGCATTTTGTCCCATTCAAAACCCTCCCTCAATGTAGCCTAGCTATTCTACATGGCTACCCTGTTGGGAATTCCACTCTCTATTCTTATGCATTTAATGTATTGGCTTCGGTGAGACACTTTTTTTTTCTTTTCTTTGATGTTCCATGTCTTTTTAAAATATGTGTGCCTCCATGTCTGTTTGCAAGTGAAACCAACCAACCAAATATTAGGCCAAACTATTGTAAAGACTCCAGCCACCCTAGTCATAGACTGTTCTCTCTGCTACCGCACGGCAAGCGGTACCAGAGTGCCAAGTCTAGGTCCAAAAGACTTCTCAACGGCTTCTACCCCCAAGCCATAAGACTCCTGAACAGCTAATCATGGCTACCCGGACTATTTGCACTGCCCCCCCACCCCATCTTTTTACGCTGCTGCTACTCTGTTAATTATTTATGCATAGTCACTTTAACTTTACCCACATGTACATATTACTTAAACTACCTCAACTAGCCGGTGCCCCCGCACATTGACTCTGCACCGGTACCCCCCTGTATATATAGCCTCCCTACTGTTATTTTATTTTACTTCTGCTCTTTTTTTCTCAACACTTTTTTTGTTGTTGTTTTATTTTTACTTTTTTGTTAAAAATAAATGCACTGTTGGTTAAGGGCTGTAAGTAAGCATTTCACTGTAATGTCTGCACCTGTTGTATTCGGCGCATGTGGCCAATAAGATTTGATTTGATTTGATTTGTAATATGATGTGTCTAGCAGCTCTGCCTTGACCCTGGGAATGGATGTAAACTTGGTTGTGGAATGTGCGCAGATTACTGAGATGCGTATTTGCTGTCACAGTCTTGGAGATGATCTCACAGTGCAGTATAAACCTACTAGTTCTAACTAAGAACAACAAGCAGGACAAGGTATCCAAGTAATAGTTCCTTGGCACTTTGTATAGCTCCTTTGTGCATCCAAAGTGCCCACACTGTTATACATGTTTCTCAAAGTATAGGCAACCTGTTGAAGTCATTTTGTCTTACAGTAATAAACTGTAGTCTGAACTATACTGAACAAAAATATAAGCGCAACAATTTCAAACATTTTACTGAGTTACAGTTCATATAAGGAAATCAGTCAATTGAAATAAATAAATTTGGCACGAATCTATGGATTTCATATGACTGGGCAGGGACGCAGCCATGCCCACCCACTTGGGAGCCTGGCCCAGCCAATCAGAATGAGTTTATCCCCAGAAAAGGGCTCTATTACAGACAGAAATACTCCGGGTGGCTGGTCTGAGACGATCCCGCAGGTGAAGAAGCTGGATGTGGAGGTCCTGGGCTGGCGTGGTTACACGTGGTCTGTGGTTGTGAGGCCGTAATCTGGCGGAAGGCAGCTGAGAACATGGCTTGAATGCAAATGAATGAACTTTGGAACAGTGCATATTGCATTGAGTCAATGCCAATGAATGTATACCCTCTATTTTTCGAGCTGTGGTCATTGGACAACTTGATTTGCATATTGTGACTCAGTTATTGGGTTCTCCGGTGTTTTGACTTTTAAAGAGCGAGAAATAGCTAGGCTGAGACATCCAAACATAAGCCTATTTATATCATCGTTAGAAAGGGAAAACATTAAATGAATTTAATTCCCCATCAATTGTTTTGTTTTTGTGATGGAGTTAGTTTTATCCTGAAGTATTTTACTAATTGCTTGATTACTCAAATTATGGAGTAAAGCAGCTCTAATGTGGATACTTCTGTGTTATGTGCATTTGTTTGTGTCACTTGACATGATGTAATTGCTCTTGGTTTCACAGATTCTGCTGTTGATAATGCTATAACCGCAGACTTTGACCAGTTTCAGGTCTTTGTCTCCAGGGATGCAGTGGTTGTAGTTTTGGTAGGGTATCACAACGTCTGTTCTTGTGTTTCTTCTCTTTCAGTACTACAAACATGTTGTCCAGAGTGTGGAGAAGTTCGTTCAGAAAGTGAGTTTCTTTCGGTTTCACCAGTCCAAAACTGAGTCAAGTAGAATACAAATATGTACTACGCAAATCATGTATTGATATTGTTTGCCAATCATTTGCACATCACCACAGAGATGCTAAACGCTCCCCTTGTTTTGTGCAATCCAGTGCAAGCCAGAGTACAAGGTCCCAGGCCTGTATGTCATGGACTCCATCGTGCGGCAGTCACGGCACCAGTTTGGCCAGGACAAGGATGTGTTCGCCCCACGCTTCAGCAAAAACATCATCGGAACCTTCCAGTACCTCTACCGCTGCCCCTCAGATGACAAGGTGGGTCACAGTGGGAACAGAGACAGCTCTCTGGTTTCTCTATTCAGAAACACTGTTCTAGCTTTCACCTTCTCTTCTACCTCTGACTACACATATCTGCTGTATTGTTAGTGATAGATCTGATCTGTAGCATTGTTTGAAAAACAAAAAACGTATTATTCAGTGTCAGTGGGGAAAGAAATCAATGAATATGCTATTTTAAAACGTCACATTTGTAGTGTATACAGCATCAACTTTAGGCTGTGACTCATTCGCTGCAGTGGTCTTGTTTTGATTGGTTGGTTGTGTGTCAGTCTATGATCTCATCTAGAGCTTATTTTTCTTTCCTTTGTGTTCCAGAGTAAGATTGTCAGAGTCCTCAACCTGTGGCAGAAGAACGCCGTCTTCAAGAGTGACATCATCCAGCCGCTGCTGGACATGGCTGCAGGACTGCCCCCTCCCAGTGTCACCCCCGTCATGACCAGCAGGGATGCTCCCGTCAACAATGCTACGCCTGGTCAGTCACTCAACATATAGCATGCACACACACACAGCTCTATACTGACACCTGGTGGCAAAATACAGTCCTCTCTCCTGAACTAATTCAATGTTCTGAGGCCTTTTTTGTGACCAGGCATTGCTCTCTAATCAACTTCAATTGTAGATGTTTGTTGTATTATTCATATTGATTTCTCATGATGGACTTTCTGTGTGTGTTTGTGTCCAGGTACCCCAGCGACCCCGGCCACTCCAGCAAACATCGTGTCCAGTCTGCCTGACTGGGCGTCTCAGTTTTCCAACACTGACACTGTAGCTGCTGTGGCCCAGATCCTGCAGAGTCCACAGGGACAACAGGTCAGTACATAGAAGATCCCTGGTCCTCAGACAGTCAATTTAATTCAACATCAAATTTTAAGCTCAGAGAATGACACTGAATGTCTCTTTGCCTCAAGATTGTTGGCATGTTTTAATGTTTTTTCTTTGACTTGTACACTTGTTGAGTCTGTGTTCGGACCTTTCTGATGCTCCTTTGTTTACAAAACTTTCCTTTCCAAATGACCAGCTGTAGACTTCTTGTGTGTCATTCTCTGTGTCTGTCTTTATTTGTTAACAGCTCCAGCAACTGGTGCAGAGTCTGCAGATGCAGCAGCAGAAGCCCCAGCCGTCTCTGCTGCAGGCGCTGGATGCAGGCCTGGTGGTCCAGCTGCAGGCACTGACGGCCCAGCTCACTGCAGCCGCCTCAGCCAACCCCATGCATCTCAACCCGCTGGACCAGAGGGTCTCCTCCTTCAACAAGGTGAGGGATCAAGTCCACAGACACAGAAATGGAGTGGAATTTTAAAATAATGCTAATTTTTATTGTTTTGTGTGATGTTAACTATTCTCTACTACGTGTGACTCTTAGATCTATATTTTAAAGATGATTGTCTTTCTCCATTTGTCGCAGAAAATGTTGGGTCATTTTGACTTTGGAAACGATTCAGAACGCTCTGAAGACTCCAAAAAGGACTCGCAATCATCCCAGATGTAAGCATGTTTTTTTTGTATCTACAAATCTGAGACCCTGCGGAATATGTCACAGGTTCTGTGTATGCACTTTCACTCCCCACTACCTGTGTGACGGACACAAGTTAACTGAACTCTCCCACGTCTCCCTCCAGGCCCATGGTGTCTGACTCCATCTTCCACCAGCTGGCTGAGCAGCTGCAGCAGCAGAACCTGGAGCAGTTCCAGAAGCAGCTCATGGAGCACCAGCAGCACCAGCAGAAGGTATCTACACAACACACACCTTCACAGACACCCCTAGTCCCTTCCTTTACGGCCCGCCCTATCCATACCGGAGCACTAGCAGCACCAGCAGAAGGTATCTACACAACACACACCTTCACAGACACCCCTAGTCCCTTCCTTTACGGCCCGCCCTATCCATACCGGAGCACTAGCAGCACCAGCAGAAGGTATCTACACAACACACACCTTCACAGACACCCCTAGTCCCTTCCTTTACGGCCCGCCCTATCCATACCGGAGCACTAGCAGCACCAGCAGAAGGTATCTACACAACACACACCTTCACAGACACCCCTAGTCCCTTCCTTTACGGCCCGCCCTATCCATACCGGAGCACTAGCAGCACCAGCAGAAGGTATCTACACAACACACACCTTCACAGACACCCCTAGTCCCTTCCTTTACGGCCCGCCCTATCCATACCGGAGCACTAGCAGCACCAGCAGAAGGTATCTACACAACACACACCTTCACAGACACCCCTAGTCCCTTCCTTTACGGCCCGCCCTATCCATACCGGAGCACTAGCAGCACCAGCAGAAGGTATCTACACAACACACACCTTCACAGACACCCCTAGTCCCTTCCTTTACGGCCCGCCCTATCCATACCGGAGCACTAGCAGCACCAGCAGAAGGTATCTACACAACACACACCTTCACAGACACCCCTAGTCCCTTCCTTTACGGCCCGCCCTATCCATACCGGAGCACCAGCAGCACCAGCAGAAGGTATCTACACAACACACACCTTCACAGACACCCCTAGTCCCTTCCTTTACGGCCCGCCCTATCCATACCGGAGCACCAGCAGCACCAGCAGAAGGTATCTACACAACACACACCTTCACAGACACCCCTAGTCCCTTCCTTTACGGCCCGCCCTATCCATACCGGAGCACCAGCAGCACCAGCAGAAGGTATCTACACAACACACACCTTCACAGACACCCCTAGTCCCTTCCTTTACGGCCCGCCCTATCCATACCGGAGCACTAGCAGCACCAGCAGAAGGTATCTACACAACACACACCTTCACAGACACCCCTAGTCCCTTCCTTTACGGCCCGCCCTATCCATACCGGAGCACTAGCAGCACCAGCAGAAGGTATCTACACAACACACACCTTCACAGACACCCCTAGTCCCTTCCTTTACGGCCCGCCCTATCCATACCGGAGCACCAGCAGCACCAGCAGAAGGTATCTACACAACACACACCTTCACAGACACCCCTAGTCCCTTCCTTTACGGCCCGCCCTATCCATACCGGAGCACTAGCAGCACCAGCAGAAGGTATCTACACAACACACACCTTCACAGACACCCCTAGTCCCTTCCTTTACGGCCCGCCCTATCCATACCGGAGCACCAGCAGCACCAGCAGAAGGTATCTACACAACACACACCTTCACAGACACCCCTAGTCCCTTCCTTTACGGCCCGCCCTATCCATACCGGAGCACTAGCAGCACCAGCAGAAGGTATCTACACAACACACACCTTCACAGACACCCCTAGTCCCTTCCTTTACGGCCCGCCCTATCCATACCGGAGCACTAGCAGCACCAGCAGAAGGTATCTACACAACACACACCTTCACAGACACCCCTAGTCCCTTCCTTTACGGCCCGCCCTATCCATACCGGAGCACCAGCAGCACCAGCAGAAGGTATCTACACAACACACACCTTCACAGACACCCCTAGTCCCTTCCTTTACGGCCCGCCCTATCCATACCGGAGCACTAGCAGCACCAGCAGAAGGTATCTACACAACACACACCTTCACAGACACCCCTAGTCCCTTCCTTTACGGCCCGCCCTATCCATACCGGAGCACTAGCAGCACCAGCAGAAGGTATCTACACAACACACACCTTCACAGACACCCCTAGTCCCTTCCTTTACGGCCCGCCCTATCCATACCGGAGCACTAGCAGCACCAGCAGAAGGTATCTACACAACACACACCTTCACAGACACCCCTAGTCCCTTCCTTTACGGCCCGCCCTATCCATACCGGAGCACTAGCAGCACCAGCAGAAGGTATCTACACAACACACACCTTCACAGACACCCCTAGTCCCTTCCTTTACGGCCCGCCCTATCCATACCGGAGCACTAGCAGCACCAGCAGAAGGTATCTACACAACACACACCTTCACAGACACCCCTAGTCCCTTCCTTTACGGCCCGCCCTATCCATACCGGAGCACTAGCAGCACCAGCAGAAGGTATCTACACAACACACACCTTCACAGACACCCCTAGTCCCTTCCTTTACGGCCCGCCCTATCCATACCGGAGCACCAGCAGCACCAGCAGAAGGTATCTACACAACACACACCTTCACAGACACCCCTAGTCCCTTCCTTTACGGCCCGCCCTATCCATACCGGAGCACTAGCAGCACCAGCAGAAGGTATCTACACAACACACACCTTCACAGACACCCCTAGTCCCTTCCTTTACGGCCCGCCCTATCCATACCGGAGCACTAGCAGCACCAGCAGAAGGTATCTACACAACACACACCTTCACAGACACCCCTAGTCCCTTCCTTTACGGCCCGCCCTATCCATACCGGAGCACTAGCAGCACCAGCAGAAGGTATCTACACAACACACACCTTCACAGACACCCCTAGTCCCTTCCTTTACGGCCCGCCCTATCCATACCGGAGCACTAGCAGCACCAGCAGAAGGTATCTACACAACACACACCTTCACAGACACCCCTAGTCCCTTCCTTTACGGCCCGCCCTATCCATACCGGAGCACCAGCAGCACCAGCAGAAGGTATCTACACAACACACACCTTCACAGACACCCCTAGTCCCTTCCTTTACGGCCCGCCCTATCCATACCGGAGCACCAGCAGCACCAGCAGAAGGTATCTACACAACACACACCTTCACAGACACCCCTAGTCCCTTCCTTTACAGCCCGCCCTATCCATACCGGAGCACCAGCAGCACCAGCAGAAGGTATCTACACAACACACACCTTCACAGACACCCCTAGTCCCTTCCTTTACGGCCCGCCCTATCCATACCGGAGCACCAGCAGCACCAGCAGAAGGTATCTACACAACACACACCTTCACAGACACCCCTAGTCCCTTCCTTTACGGCCCGCCCTATCCATACCGGAGCACCAGCAGCACCAGCAGAAGGTATCTACACAACACACACCTTCACAGACACCCCTAGTCCCTTCCTTTACGGCCCGCCCTATCCATACCGGAGCACTAGCAGCACCAGCAGAAGGTATCTACACAACACACACCTTCACAGACACCCCTAGTCCCTTCCTTTACGGCCCGCCCTATCCATACCGGAGCACTAGCAGCACCAGCAGAAGGTATCTACACAACACACACCTTCACAGACACCCCTAGTCCCTTCCTTTACGGCCCGCCCTATCCATACCGGAGCACTAGCAGCACCAGCAGAAGGTATCTACACAACACACACCTTCACAGACACCCCTAGTCCCTTCCTTTACGGCCCGCCCTATCCATACCGGAGCACTAGCAGCACCAGCAGAAGGTATCTACACAACACACACCTTCACAGACACCCCTAGTCCCTTCCTTTACGGCCCGCCCTATCCATACCGGAGCACTAGCAGCACCAGCAGAAGGTATCTACACAACACACACCTTCACAGACACCCCTAGTCCCTTCCTTTACGGCCCGCCCTATCCATACCGGAGCACTAGCAGCACCAGCAGAAGGTATCTACACAACACACACCTTCACAGACACCCCTAGTCCCTTCCTTTACGGCCCGCCCTATCCATACCGGAGCACTAGCAGCACCAGCAGAAGGTATCTACACAACACACACCTTCACAGACACCCCTAGTCCCTTCCTTTACGGTCCGCCCTATCCATACCGGAGCACTAGCAGCACCAGCAGAAGGTTGCTATACATCACCTCTAGAGGCACAGGAATTGACTTCCCCCCAAAAAAGCTGCCCTGGTTCCTTCCCCGAACCCCTACCTGTTTAATTTCATACTAATTTCCCATAGATTCGTCTCTTGAGACCATTGTGAGGAAAGTAGGTAGGACACTAACCAATCTGGTGTTTTTCAGGATGGAATCTTTGGGTCTGAGAACACACTCCAGCAGAGCAGCAGCCAATCACAGCACCCGGAGCCAGACAACAAGATGGACGACTCCATTGACAACCAGCAGCAGGTAAGCCTTTCTTCCCTCACTGACTCATGAACTTCTCTGTGACTAAAACTGATTTTACCTGCAATTGTAAGACCTCTGTTGTAGTTGTATTTGTAAGTAGAACGCTGTTGTAATGATGCCTGTGTTATAGGACATGGACATGGACCTGGATGACGGGCCAGAGATGGACGAAGAGATCTTCGAGCCAGAGGACAAGAAGTCAAAGACGGTTGACACGCAGTCAAGAACACGGTCCAGGTCACGATCGAGGTGAGTCTAAGGACCCATTCTGAGAGAAACCGTCCACAAGGCAACCTGAGACACCTTGCAGAGGCGCAGAATATAGCACCACCATCCATGTTGATCTTACCACGACTCTACTCTAGATCTCCCAGGAAGAGACGGTCCAGATCACGGTCAGGCTCTCGGAAACGTAAACATCGCAAGCGATCGCGGTCACGCTCCAGAGAGCGGAAGAGGAAGTTGTCGCGGTCCTACTCCAGCGAGAGACATGCCCGCGAGCTAGAGAAAGAGCGTCAGAAGAAAGGACTGCCTCCAATCCGATCCAAGTTTCTCAGTGGTAATACCAGCCTTCAATTAGCGCTTCACTGACCTTTTTAATGTTTTAGTGTATCACTAGTCATGAAAATCTCCAAAATTGGTCACTATTTCCTTTGAATGTTTATCATCCTTGGCACCTTTAATGTGTTCTAAGCCTCCATCTCTACTATGTGTCCCCAGTGTGCAGCACCACTCTGTGGGTGGGACAGGTGGACAAGAAGGCCACTCAGCAGGACCTCACCAACCTGTTTGAAGAGTTTGGTCAGATTGAGTCTATCAATGTGAGTAGAGCACCCTCTCTCTCAATCTCAGTCTGAGCCTGAGTTGACTTCATTAACCGCTGCTCATTATGTGGGTTAGCAAGCTCTGTCACCTCTGACCTGGGGGAAATATTAATTATCTTGACTGTGTTTACTTTAAAGCACTCACCCTTTGCTCTTTAAGCCAGGCCAGGCATTTCTCATTAGCAAGTTCTGACCATACTGTGGGTTAACTGCTTAACCCCTGTCACTTTCACCCTCCTTCATCCCTCTCTCACTCTCTCCTTCTATAGATGATCCCTCCTCGTGGCTGTGCCTACATCTGTATGGTCCACAGACAGGATGCCTACCGCGCCAGACAGAAACTCAGCACTGGTTCATACAAGATCGGCTCCAAGGTCATTAAGGTAAAGTCTGACGTGATGTGATTGCCACTTCACTGCGGTTAGGGTATGTCCTCTGTGTGTGTAAGATTTTTAAATCTCTTGGGCGGCTCACTTACCATACCGCTGACGTCATAGCAACCCAGCCATTAGATATTTCATACTCTCCTGTTTCCACCCAAATGCCCTTGATATTTTTGCTCTTTCATGTATCCCCTGACATTTGTGTGTGTGTGTTCAGATCGCGTGGGCGCTGAATAAGGGAGTGAAGCAGGAGTATAAGCAGTTGTGGGACATGGACCTGGGGGTCACCTACATCCCCTGGGAGAAGGTCAAGCTGGACGACCTGGACGGCTTCGCTGAGGGAGGCATGATCGACCAGGAGACTGTCAACGCCGGTGAGCAGATGCAGCAAAGGACACACACACACATAAATGAACACTAAGGGTGTGTCTCAATATGCATACTACCGTGCACCACACTCTCATGCTCCGAGTGCGTTCTCAGAGGACATTCTCTTGAGAATGTATAAAACATATTTGAGAAGCACTCGCTTCTGTATTACCTCACGCTGCACCTCCCCGTTCACTGAACCTTCTTCCGGCCAGGACAATGGCAACAATGGAGACGAAACAAGATATACACTAGGCTATCAGCTAGCTATATGTGCATCGTAATAATCTAGCTAACCAGATAGTTTAACAGGCAAAAATGTTACTAATGTTATGCAAGGTAGATGTCAATTCTTCCTGGGTACCTAGCTGCTGATTCTTAGTGGCTACCTAGCCAGCTAACAGTAGTAGCTAACTAGTAAACGTTAGCCCTATTAACTTACTATGGGCTTGCGTTCTATGCACACGACAGTGGGTATTGTAGGCAGGTAAACATGCCAGAATTAACAGAGTATGTGTTTATTAATGTGTCAAGATAAAATATTGTAGTCAGGCAACATATGAGATGTGAATGGGCAACATTTCATTCTGAAGTCAGTTTATTTTCTCTCACTTCAGCTCAAATAATGGCTGCCATTGATTTCAAGAAATGTTGTGTCGTTTTTTTACATGGTTGCATCATATTTCTGTGGATACTTTCAGTTGAAGCTTGCATCGATGCATGCTTCAAAATATGTACCAACGGAGTACGCGTCCAAGAAGTGCTCTGTTTCGCATACTTTGATTTGAACTCATACTCCGACCCTCTCGTGCTCCAACTTGCATGCTCAGTGCACGGTAGTATGCATTTTGAGAAACACCCTACACACACACTGGACATACACAAGCACATGACTTACACATACACTGGACATACACAAGCACAGGACATACACAAGCACAGGACATACACACACACTGGACTTACACAAGCACAGGACATATACACGCACTGGACATACACAAGCACAGGACATACACACACACTGGACATACACAAGCACAGAACTTACACACACACTGGACATACACAAGCACAGGACATACACAAGCACTGGACTTACACAAGCACTGGACACACACAAGCACTGGACATACACAAGCACTGGACATACACAAGCCATGGACATACACAAGCACAGGACTTACACACACACTGGACATACACAAGCACAGGACATACACAAGCACAGGACATACACAAGCACTGGACATACACAAGCACTGGACATACACAAGCACTGGACATACACAAGCCATGGACATACACAAGCACAGGACTTACACAAGCCATGGACATACACAAGCCATGGACATACACAAGCACAGGACATATACACACACACTGGACATACACAAGCACAGGACATACACAAGCACAGGACATACACAAGCACTGGACATACACAAGCCATGGACATACACAAGCACAGGACTTACACACACACTGGACATACACAAGCACAGGACATACACAAGCACAGGACTTACACAAGCACTGGACATACACAAGCACTGGACATACACAAGCACAGGACTTACACAAGCACAGGACTTACACAAGCCATGGACATACACAAGCACAGGACTTACACAAGCCATGGACATACACAAGCACAGGACATATACACACACACTGGACATACACAAGCACAGGACATACACAAGCACAGGACATACACAAGCACTGGACATACAAGCTCAACACTAGTGCTCACTCATACACAGGCGTCACACATTCTCATTAACTCTTTTAACATCAACCACAAATATTTTCTGGCATTTGGTTATTTTGGGTTTATCAGAGTAGGAAGTCCCACTGAAAACCATAATACTGGAGAGATACAGCTCAGCAGGGCAAAGGAAATGTGACTATCTGTGTCGTACAGTGAATTTTCTTCTCAAACCCTCTCTGTTTTTCTTAACTGTAGAGTGGGAAGCAGCCAAAAATGCGCCAGAGCCGGTGAAGGAAGCGGTGAGCCAGGCGGTGAGCGCTGAACCCATGGCAGCCACCAACACCCAACAGACCCAACAAAAGGCCTTCATCCAACAGGTCTCCATGATGCCTGTGCAGGTACCCAAACGTCTAACATAAAACTAATGTTCAACATTGAAGCATAAATACCTTGTTTTCTGCGTGTAAGTTCACCATCCTTTTAGAGTTGTGTGTTTTTGTGAGAAAGAGTTCTGGAGGGTGGAACACCCACCGTGAAATTGGTATCAATCAACTCCTTACAATTCCCATGCACATTTGATGTGGCTGTGAAGTTGGTGATCTTACGAGATAACTGTCGAGTTCCAAGTTGATCGCACATGAATTCACGTTTCCATGGTTTCTCTCCCATTTCCTTTGTACTGAGTGTCTTCCATGGAGCCAGTCAGTCAGTGGTGTGAAACTGAACACCATAATCTTCCTGTGATTGGTGCTAGCTGCCTGCCCTGTCTATGGGGTGCTTATCCTCAAGTGTTTCTGAAGAGTTGATAGGGTTGTTGAGTGAATGCAGGAAGCACGGCCTGTGTTTGTTTGCTCATGGGTGGGCTTAATGAGAAGGTTTGGCTCAGTGGGTGGGGGAAGTGTTTAGGCTGTGGATTAGTATACAACTCAGCTCAGAGAAAACACCTCCGTCTGAGTTAATCTGTCTACTAAACTCATTCATGCAACTTACCCCCACACATGCCTTATTCAACTCGTCAGTCAGATATTTAAGTGATAATGCCTGAGAAGCCGGTGTTTGGAGGATATATTGGCACGGGTGTTCTTGGCACGTGCCAATATATCCTCCAAACACCAGCTTCGAGGGTTACCAACATATTCAAATAATGTTTAACATATTTTCATTACGGTAACTTTATTTTTATGAATTTATTCATACTATTTCATCCTACCACAAGATATAGTCCCGACACAAATCTAGGATTGCTACCCAAGCCGGCTGGTCGTTCATTCTACCGGTTCGGTTGCCAGAGGCGCGACCCAGTCGTTCAGTCTTTTTGTTCTGTATCTCTATGGATGCAACCCAGTCGTTCGTTCTAAATGTTCCATTGCCATACTGGCTGGCAACGTTCTTATCGCTTGCTTGCTAGCTAGCCAAATATGACTAATTTGCAGACATGTCAAAAAGCAGCCAGAATAACAGCAAAGTAGCTGCATTTGCAGTTGTTTAAGCTGTTTTCTAGTGACATTTATTTGGATACATCCATAACAATGAGCTAATAAGGCGCGATTTCGCCTGGCATAGAAAATGTGCTCACTCGTCAGGATACTGTTGTTAAGAGGAGCTAGCCAATAACACAGCTAACACAATCACTTCAAACTGAAGCTGGAGAGACTGCAAACTAGCTGCACTTTGTTTCGTTTGACCTTTTTTCAATTGACATTTCTTTGTATGTATTCATTAAAATGTTGCCAGCTTGATTGATTCATGATTTTGACTGGTTGAGAAACGCTGCTTGCCTGTCTGTCTCGTCCCAACTCCCGACACGTTCATTACTATTGGACAGCTGGAGATCGAATTTGAATATTGAAACAATGTTGCAAATGTCAGAGAGACAGACAGCAAGGTATATACAAATCTCTGCTATTGAAAATGAAATGTTAGTCTAAAAGAAATGTGAGATAATGTCTAGATGCTTTTTATAATGGAGATCAAGTTTATAAATTGCTTGGCTGGGCTGATGAGACAGTGGATTGCGCAGTCAGATGGAACAGAGTAAATAGGCATTTTAACCTCATAGATGTAGCCAGTGGTAACTTGTGGAATAGACACCTGCTGGAATGCAGTTTTAACCAATCAGCATTCAGAATTAGACACACCCGTTGTATAATACATCTCAACTCCCAAAGCAGTTAAATGTTGTTGCTTCTCATAGTATTTGTCTTAAAACATGATTACCTGTAGGAAACTATTGTTCCTCCAAATTCTTTGATTGATTGTTAAATGATGTTACAGTGATCATCTCAACCATGCATATTCATCCCAGCACTCATTTCTCTGGTTTAACTCTCCTCTCAGCTCCCTGTGGCCCAGGCTGTCCCTGCTGGGGGTCTTGTTCCTCCATCCTTCCCTGTTTCCATGGCAATGCCCCCGCCAGGCTATGGCCCCCCGCCCACCTTCCTCAGAGCAGGTTTCAACGCCTCCCAGCCTCCTCCAGGTAAGACACAGCAGTCTGCCAGTGAAGAGTATTGCATAAAAAAAGGCCTATTGAACAGATCTTTTCCTCCAGAAAAGTGAGGTGAGCGAGCGAAAGAAGATAATCCCCACGCTCCCCCAAACACTTTCTAGGTGAAATAGGCTACTGTATATAAAGAGGGACAGTCATTCAAGTTAGGTCTGTCAAATGAATGCAGCACTGGAAAAAGTGCCATCCAATCCCTATCAGCTACAGGATAAAACGTAATTTAAGGTGATGTATATAGTGCAATGAAGTGCAATATTAGTTTTTGTAATTCAAGAATGATTGACAATAAATAATTGTAATCAAATGAAATGTTACTGTATAATGAGTTCATTACCTATAGCCTATAGGCTTTAACAAAATATTAGTACAAAGATGAATAGGCCTATCAGACTTACTTTGAAGAAAGCAAGCTTTACTAAATTCGAGGCCAGTAGGTCTATGCAGTCAATTCACTCATCGCATCCTCCTTCGATTGCCTCATCCGGTTGCCAGAAAAAGCCACCACCTTGGAGACAGTCGACCACATCATGAGGTCCTGATCAGCACGAAGTGTTTGCGTACCACTGTTGATTCATTTTGCAGTATATGCGGGCTGTTCTGTGCGGCGCTTGATAACGTCAAACACATTCCGTCATGGTGCAGGCAGTAGGCTACCGGTAAAATGTAAGTTAGGAATCACAAATCACCATGTAGCTGACACTTCGATGTCATCAGTCATTTTGACCTCAATTTGGTTGTCAAAAATACTATCATCTTGCACTGGATATTTGCTGAGGAATGCTAGAGCTCTGCTACCCGAGCCTGACGGGACCACGATATTATACATAGGGTTAGGGCTGGATCGGGCCTGTTTTTTCATCAATAACTAAGGTACAGGCATGGCTCAGGTATCACTAAATTGATCACTAACATTTTTAAGCTGAGCCATTTGCTCGTGCTCTGCTGCGCAGTACAGTGATATCTGACTAAGATCATAACATTGTGTCAGAAGTGCTTCAACCTCATCAAATATAAGACAGGAGAGATTATTTCACAGAAAATAATAATGTTTAGAATGATGAAAAGTAGCTAACAGCTAACTGCTCTCTCATGTCTCTTCATTGAGCAGAGTAGCCCAGCGTGAAAATGTTCCCAGTTCAATAATTGCACGTGCGTCTCTTTATGTGCATGGCTGAGCTAGTGCGGATGTTTCTCTCACACCTTTCCTCAACCTCGAAAAACTGTTCTGTGGGCACCCGCATTTGCTTCACACATCTGCCAATCAATGGTGGCCAGGAGTATTGACTGACCAATGAGAAGGTCAGCATATAAACACCCGGACTCGCGCGTCTAAGTGCTGAGGGTTGATGTGAGGAGAGAGTTTTTGCGATTGCAAAGACGGGGGTGTGAGAGAAACATCCGCACTAGCTCAGCCATCCACATAAAGAGACACACGTGCAATTATTGAACTGGGAACATTTTCACACTGTGAGAAATTTTACAACATGATGTCACAATCACAACACAATCAGAACGATTGGGAAGTATTTCACGCTGGGAAGAGTTTTATGTGACACAGGGCTGTAATCTCTGGCCAGTCGTTTTGTTCCATGATGACATTGTTGTTTCAGGTATTAATTGCTTCTAATAGGTCAGAATATGATGCATTAACCGTGAATTTAACCGACTGTTTATAACGAGGGATGCCCCACCATGTTTAACCTGGACACATTAATAGTAGGAATTTGCGCCGGCCTCAGCTAAGCTGGCATGCGAGAGAAATGAAACATTTAACATTTACATTTTAGTCATTTAGCAGACGCTCTTATCCAATGCATAATTTTTTTTATTTTGTCTTTTTTTTCTCCATACTGGCCCCCCGTGGGAATCGAATCCACAACCCTTGCCTTGCAAGCGCCATGCTCTACCAACTGAGCTACACGGGATGATACATGTTACCCCCACAAATCAAATGATGATACATGTTACCCCACTCACGAGAAGATAATGATTCATCCTTTCTTTTAATTTGAATTGTTACCCATAAATTCACGTGTTATTTATGTTGCTTACACTCACGCACTCCACATACTCACCACATACACCCCACATACTCACCACATACACCCCACATACTCACCACATACACCCCACATACTCACCACATACAACCCAAATACCACTCCACAAGACTCAACCACAATAAACCCCACATGACACCAACAATACTACAAAATAACCCCACATACCAACCACATACACCCCACATACTCACAAATAAACCCCACATTACTCACAACATACACCCAACATAATCAACACATAAACCCACAGACACTCAACAGACTCACCACTACACCCCACATACTCACCACCTTACACCCAAAATAATCACAAATACACCCCACATACTCACCAATACACCCACATTTACACTCCACATACTCACCACATACACCCCACATACTCACCACATAACACCCCACATACTTCACCACATACACCCACATACTCACCACCACATACCACCACATACACCCCACAACCACCACATACACCCACAACTCACCACATACACCCCACATACCACCACAACACCCCACATACTCACCACATACACCCCACATCTCACCACATACACCCACATACCACCACATACACCCCACAACACCCACATACCACCACATACACCCCACATACTCACCACATACACCCCACATACACCCCACATACACTCCACATACTCACCACATACACTCCACATACACCCCACATACACTCCACATACTCACCACATACTCACCACATACACCCCACATACACTCCACATACACCCCACATACACCCCACATACACCCCACATACTCACCGCATACACACCACATACTCACCGCATACACCCCACATACACCCCACATACTCACAACATACACTCCACATACTCACAACATACTCACAACATACACCCCACATACACCCCACATACTCACCACATACACCCCACATACACACCACATACACCCCACATACTCACCACATACACCCCACATACTCACCACATACACCCCACATACTCACCACATACACCCCACATACTCACCACATACACCCCACATACTCACCACATACACCCCACATACTCACCGCATACACACCACATACTCACCACATACTCACCACATACACACCGCATACTCACCGCATACTCACCGCATACTCACCGCATACTCACCGCATACTCACCGCATACAAACCGCATACTCAACCGCATACACACCACATGCACGCACACTCGCACACACGCACACGCACACACACAGACACACACACACACACAGACATAGATGTATGCCTCTGTGCTACAATAGGGAGCTTCAGTCAGTCAGTGAGGTCTGCTGGGGATGAATGCTGCTGCGTAATAGTAATTATAAAAACAAGAGGAAGAGGGGAGGGAGGGTGGCTCCTGCATGTCGATAGAGGGATAGAGGGATGGAGCAATGGAGGAATAGGCCCCTCCTTCCTCACCCAGAAGCATCTGGCTGTGGGCTCTGTGACTTTGTGTCAGCAGTTTGTCTTGTGCATAGTTAATGAAGGAGAGGCATACGGTGGGCAGGAGGCCGCTTGGCATAGGCCCTCAGAGCCTTCTCTCTCTCCCGCGCTCCCCATTTCCCTCTCCTCTTTCCCCTCCTCTCCTCCTCTTCTACTTACGTCAACAGAATCCCCACAAATGATATATTTCCTCAGGAGGAAATGCTGGGGAGCAAAGTCTCTCTCTGTCTGTCTGTCTCTCTGTCTGTCTGTCTCTCAAATGCAGTAGAAGACTCTGGGGTGTTTTCCTTCTATATTTTCTATTTTTCACATCTCTGTCACTCTCTGTCACTCTCTCACTCTCTGTCACTCTCTCTCTTTTTCTCAATTTGAGGTTTAGGCTAGGGGTAACCCGTGGTGAATTGTTCTAATCAAAGAAACAGAGGAGGGGAGAAAGGGAGCAGGGAAGATAGAAAGGAGGGGAGAGTGCATCCTTGAAAAGAAACAGCAAGTCATTGGGAGAAAAACAAGAAAGAATAGTTGGAAATGAAAACAAAACATCTCTAATTATGGGGAACTTTAGTTTCCTGGTCCTGGATAGTCAGTCACACTGTCTGTTGTGAAGGGATGATGAATTACCCTCGCCTTTTCCTTTGTCGCTAAACTCCTGCAGTTTCTACATTGTCTTCCTCTCAATTCTATACCTGCATATGTATCTGTCTGTCTGTGCCTGTGTATGGCACAATATGTGTGTGTGTGTGTGTGTGTGTGTGTGTGCGTGTGTGTGTGCATGTGTATAACACATCAAGCTTAATGTAGACAGCAGCTCCCTCTCTGGGCTCTGGACAATGAGCCAATAGATATTTGAAGCCAGTCAGCCAGGCCCAGTTAGCCGTATTTATGATGATATGCAGGCAGGTCACAACGCGATATCTCTCACCAATCCACCAATCATGTATCGATCGGCTCGGTCTGCGGCCAGGCAGCGCTGATGGATGACCGAGGAAGCCACTCTGACAGCAGGCATGTCCAATCACACCAGACAGGGATGCGTTTGCATCGCACCAATCCAATCAGCTGCAGCAGCCCTCATTTTTATCAGTGTCAGTTTGACAGTGATGCATAACGCAGAGAGAGGGTTGTCAACCAGGGAATGAGGGGAGCTCTGAGGCAGAGGAAAGAGGCCCGAACATAACAAGCGAGTGATCTGCGGCTGTTTGGTCTTTGATTCTCGCGCATCAGCTTGGGAAATCCTCAATGGAAAGCGGACTGCATTATATGAACAAAGCACTGCATAAATTGGCCCAAAAATGGTACATCTTTCAATAAGGGGAGAAAAGTGAAGCAGGGCATCCGTTAAACAGTAAATGAGGTTTGAATGGCCTAAATAGTGATTTATTGTTCAGATAATCCAAATAATGATAATGGTGTGTTGTATCTCCCTCCTGTAGGTTTTATGCAGGCAGCAGGTGTTCCTCAGCAAGCAGGCATGGGCTCAGCTCCTACATGTAAGTACTGCATGACCTGACTGTCTATAGAACCCATGATGTTGCATTACCTTTTGAGTAAATATTGCCAGAAAATATTAGTGATAAAAAAAATACTGACAGATGGTTTTTTCTGTTCCTCTCCTGCAGCTCTGGTGCAGCCCTCCATGTCGCAGGCTCAGGACAATATGAAGGACTCCCCGTACGGAGCCACTGTCCCGGGAAGCTTCATGCCCTCTGCCATCCCTGGACAAGGGGTCTTCAACCCGCTTCAACCTGGAGTCCAGACGCAGCAAGGAGCCAATGACAAGACGGGCCAGTCTGCTGATGGCATGGACGCCGCTGCAGAGTTAGTACTGCAAGGTAAGAGCATACTAAACTATCATCTAGGGTTTAGGTGCACGTTTTGCCATTCTTTTGTCTGTTCTTAATGACTCATTTTGAGATCTTTAGAAAAATGTCTCACTTTCTCAAGACTTTGCTGCTAAGACCTGTTTTTTGCCGTTACACTTTTTGTGTTCCTCTTCTCTCTAGGTATGCAAAATGCAATGAGTCGTCGTATGGGTCTTCTGGGGATGCACCCCTCAGCCTCCCTCACCCACCCCCTGCACCAGCAGGGCCTGCCTGGCCAGAGGATGCCTGGGCTGATGCCACTGGACCTCCGGCCTAGTATGCTCCAGGGAGCCGGGGCCCGCTTCCCCCTCCTGATGCAGCAGGGCCTGTCCCAACAGAGCCTCCTGGACGCCTCCCTCCATGCACAGGCCCGCGCCAGAGCGGCCTCCCAGATGGACCACTTCAACAGGGCCGAGGGGGCCTTCAACCGGGGACCCAACCCCCCAAACGAAAGCATGTCTAAGGCGGAGGACGAGCCTTCCTCTGGGGCAGACGACAGCCAGCAGGGGGGGGACCAAGACTACCGCTTCCCCCCGCCCCAGGAGAAGCAGAGCACGGGCCTGCTGAGGACACCTCCCCCGGAGCACAGAGAGTCCATGGGTGGAGGTGGACGTGGTGGGGGAGCTGGTGGTGGGGGTATGGGCGGAGGAGGAGGCAGGCCCGCCCTGCTCCAGACCCCAGTGAGGGAGCCAGCTAGAGACAGCGTGGTAGGGCGGCTTCAGGCCCTCGCCGGCTTCACCCCCCAGACCCAGAGTCGCTGGGGGCCACCTAGAGGGGACTTTGATGAGCGTGAAATGCGGGGCTCACCGGCCGGGGTCTCCAAGGGCTTCCAGGAGGAGCGCCCTGGCTCCAACCAGGGGCAGAACTTCCCCAACCGATTTGAGAACCAGAACCGCTCTGGGGCAGCAGGAGGGGCAGGAGGAGTAGGTGCTGTTGGTCCTGGTGGCGGGGGTGTTGGAGGGGGCCCGGCGTGGAGTCGTGGTGGAGCTAATGCTGCAGCACCGTTCGCTGATGCTGACATGCCCCAGGACTTGGATGAACGCAGGCACCCTTGGGACAGGCAGCAACGGGAGAGGGACGACAGGGAATTTGACTTCAGGAAGGAGATGAACGGCAACCGCCGTGAGAGAGATAGCCGCGAGAAAGACCGGGAGAGAGAGAGGGACCGGGAGCGAGAAAGGGACCATGGCCGTGAGCGTGGCAACCGTGAACGAGAGCAGGAGTGCGACCGGGAGAGAGAGCGTGAAAAGGAGAGGGAGAAGGAACGTGAGCGGGACCGTAACAAGCGTGGAGCCTGGACACCTCTTCTCCCTCTACCACAACCCCTACTTCCTACTCCCTCCCTGACCCCAACCCTCTCCCTGACCCATGGCAAACCTCAGGCCCTGCTGCAACTACAGTCCAGGCTTCAACCTAAACCTGGACTCCTAACTAAACCGGGTCTGCTTCAAACTCCAACCCTCCTAACTCGGTCAACATCTCAAGCCCCAACCAAGTCCCTTCAAGCCCCATCCCAGTCTCCAACTCAAGCCAAGAATGAAGCCATCCCTGGTCCTGAGCCCCAGGCAGAGTCCCAGTCCTCTACCCAGACCCATGCTACCCCCAAGTCTGAGTCCTCACCCCAGACCCAATCCTCTCCTCAGAACCAGTCATCACCCCAAAACCTGGCTTCCCCTCAGGCCCAATCGCCGCCCCCTGCACAGTCCCCACCATGGGCACAGTCCCCACCATGGGCACAGTCCCCACCCCGGGCCCTGTCCCCACCACGGGCACAGTCGCCACCCCAGGCCCTGTCCCCACAACGGGCACAGTCGCCACCCCAGGCCCTGTCCCCACCACGGGCACAGTCGCCACCCCAGGCCCTGTCCCCACCACTGGCACAGTCGCCACCCCAGGCCCTGTCCCCACCACGGGCACAGTCGCCACCACGGGCACAGTCCCCACCCCAGGCCCTGTCCCTACCCCAAGCCCTGTCCCCACCCTGGGCACAGTCGCCATACCAGGCCCTGTCCCCACAGGCCCCCTGCACCCTTGAGGAGATCACTGACACAGCCAGAGTGAATCCCCTTTGGGCCAACAAGCCAGAGAAACCCCAGGAGGAACCAATGGAAGAGCCTGAACCCATAGAGGAACCTCCATCTCAGTGGGTCTATGGGACGGGGTCGAGGATGGACACTGACATAGTGGCTGAGCCCACCCCTACCCTCTCCCCCACTCCTGCCCCCCTCTCAATGTCACCGGTCCTCACACACAGCCCTGAGGAACCCCAACGCCTGCCGGAGCCCCTGGACGTGCAGCAACCACCACAGCATGCCTCCTCCTCCTTTTCCTCCTCCCCTAAGGACAATGGACTGAGTGAGCCGATGGAGGAAGCTGAGAAACAGCCAGTGGTAGAGCAAACAGACACTGAGGGGACAATCATCACTCAGTAGGTAAAGATCATTTTGTAAAGTTGTCTCTTCTCTGTAGTCATGTCAGCCACCCACGGGACCCTGGGTAGTAATGTGCATAATATTGTCTGATGACCTAACAACTGATTTTATTTCTCACATAACGGTGTACTTCAATAGATGGCTCGCTAGCTGATTAAATGGTAGGTGATTTATGTTTTTCATTCTTTTATTTGTTTCTTTTTTTAGTTGTAATGCCACCCCACGATTTGAAGCTGGGTGAATTTTTAATGAAAATTGCTTGCCAAAATGTTTGAATTGTAAATGAGCAAAAATTGCTTTGACCTTCCTATGGAAGAGTGTAAGGATACTGGCTGTTTCCAATGGATTGAATCCAGATTACGGAATACTTGAAAACTGCAGTCGCTGGCCTGTTTTGTCTCTTCTTTTAAAATATGCTGCAGCAAAGTTTTAAATGAATGCCTTTATGGTGTCCTATATGCTTCTTGTCTATAGGCAGAATATAGCCTACGTACAGTAAGAACATCCTAAAAGATGAAAAACATGACCTGTGTTATCCCCAAAATAAATGTCTGTGATTTGCTCATCATAATGCAGTGATTCAAAGGACAAAGTAAGCCAGAGATATATAAAAAAAAAGATGGATGGATGTTGGGTGCATTCTGTTTTAGTTTGAAATAAACGTGCTTTGTTTGTTAACAAATGCTTTAGGACTGTATTTTCTGACCCAGGACCAGTGGAGTAATGTTTTACACAGACTATATGCTTTTTGTGGTGGTGTCACATACAAACAGCTGTGTCACTGCAGTAGTTAGGCCATTGACTTGATGTTGTCGTACCCCATTAAGTCAGGCAGGATGTTAAAGTGCCTGTACTTTGACATCAATCTAGTCTATCTAAACCGCTCTTTAGTTTGTTTGCGACCATGGATTCATTTGTTATGTTAGTTTCTGCTCACTCTGTACTTCGCTATGCTTTTGTTGGGTGGGTGACTATTTGGGATCAGATTGTGCCTTCTTGTTTTGATTATTGTTCAGCATAATGCCACCAAATACACCACACTATCTTCAAAGTGCTGCTTTGATTTCCCTGAGACTGTACAACCCCTCAGAGAGACAGCAGTCTGTCCAGCAAGCTGTCAACACAGACACTGATCTCCTTTGTCTGTGTGATCATAGCTGGGCAGCCTATACAGCCCTTAGCCTATGTGTAGGGGGAACCAACTAGTCTGTTTACTCCATCGTTGTGTGCATGCCGGCCTGTAGCCATTTATTCTCCTTTGTCTTGTTCACGTCATACTTCTTCAGTACATTTCTGTTGAGACACTATACGATCAGGACAGGTTCAATAGTCTGAAGTTCTCTCAGACAAGCAAATGTTATAAGAGTTTAATAAAGTTGAAGGTAAATCAGCATTTTTTTTTGTCGTAAATCCAAATCTGGGTAGATTAGGGACCAGGGTCCTCGTTCCACATACCATTACACCCCCTGGCTTGGCCTCTCTGGACTATAGATCAGGCTGGACAGTTTGAACACAGAAGACAGCATTCCACATGTTTTCATGGCTGACATTTGAAATTCAAAAGGCCCAATCAAGGACCTTACTAAGAGTTTGACTTTTATTCCGTATCGTATGAAACTTGGCAGAAATATGCCACGGTCAATTCTACAGTTTACATCAGGGATCATCAACTAGATTCAGCCAAGGGGATTTTTTTATTTTCTTGAGTGGATGGTCAGGGGGGCCGGAACATAATTACAAATAATTTGTAGACTGCAAGAAGCCCAAACCAGATATATTTGACTAAAACATAATAATTTCTAACCTTGCTTACATTTGTATACGATCACATATACCTCTCTATTATGTGTGAGAATACGTGGAACAGATTTCAAAAATTAAAATCACTTGGAGCTGATTTGCTGGTGTTTTTACAGTCTTCTATGTTCAACAATAAAAAATGAAATAAAAACCGCCAGTTGGGTAACCCTGGTCTACATCATACCTACATCGATAAAAGTGTCTCAGTACTGTCACGTTTCAGCAGTGAGGCAATATACTGACCTACCACTCACACTGTTCCACACTAGCTACAGTACATAATGCATAAAGTTTATATTGACATGGCAGAGGATGAGTCCCGACAAAGTTATCTGAAGATACGCATAAACCAGCCATCTGGTGTTGGCCTTAACCATACGCACGCAGAGCAGAACGAAGACAGGGAGGGATAGAGAGCACGAGGGATGAGGGGAGGTATAATAAAGATGGCGCCAATGGAGAAGAGTTCCAACCAATGTTCCCTCAAAAAAATGTCAGCACTGAGCAAATTTCAGGTCTGCTGAGCACGAACTTCAACGTTGTGAAAATTCTGTGCAACTTCCAGCGCGCATGAATGTGAACACTGAGGCTGTACCCGCTTTAAGTTAGTTTTAACAGTGGCCATGAAGTCTACTGTGGCTATTTGATCATAATGTAGGCCTACCAGAGTGGCCTACCATCAAAAACAATGGAGAAAATCCATCCCATAACATTTTAATATGGAAATAGCTGTTCTATCATTCAGCCTACAGTAACAGCCAATGTGTGGTGTTCAATGTAGGCCTACATTCCATGAGACTTTTGAAAAAAACATGCAGGGCTTGACATTAACCTGTTTATCCACTTGTCCTTCAGACAAGGAGGTGATTGAAAATGTTGTTGTGTTGTTTGATGCAAGAAACCACTTTACAAAATAAAATGCATGATTATTCCCATACCATTATTACAGAGAATCAGATAAATTATGCTACACTCTGCCTATTGGCTACTTAGCTTATTCAAGCCTGTCTCAAAATAGAACACTGCCCCTTCAAGACAAAAAAAAAAAAAAGCTCTCTACCTGACTCGCGTTTCAAAGATGTCTAGAAATGTATACTTTTTGTGCTCTTATAGGAAGCAATCAGTCCCCTATTGCTGACTACAAATGATCTATAACTGGGCTAATAACTCACTAACTAGCAAAGGATATGAACAAAATGTGCACATGTGGCTACATGCAGCTCTCGCAAGCCGAGATCTACCGCTCAGTTTTTTTTTAACATTACTTAAAAAACATAAGCCTATGCAACACTAACTAATTTAAAAACAGTACTGTAGCAATGAGGTTTGTGCAGTAAGCTATAGACCCAATACATTATCACCACATTTTGGCATTGCTTGAATTGCCCTGCCAATGCATTGTTGTTCGGGCCATTTTGAAAAATTATATTTCAAGTTATGCTATATGATCACACCGTTAATAGATCCGTTGTTGTATTACTAGTGAAGCACAGCTGAGTGAGCATACATTTAAATCATTTGCTTTTTATTTGTATTTTACTGGGCTGATGGTGCCTGCATCTGATGGTCAGTCTCAGCGGAGGGAGAGAGCAACAGACTGAGGGTCCGCCTCTCAACATCCCTCCGCTCTCCCTTTCCTCCACTGACACTGACCAAAAACAGACACCGTCTTCCAGCTGATGGCAAAACTCGAGTCGCACCGCATTATATCTGCCTCATGCACAAATTCATGTTGTTACTCCTACGAACAGAGAAAGTGAAATATTCCTCGATATAAAAAAATACTCAAGACGCTAATAATCACAGAAACGCAAGCCTATAGATACCCTTTCCTACTCGTTCATTACTGCTGCAATGCTTGTAGCGCTGAGTGGAAATAGGAAGAACGTGCATTTTATGTTGAATACGAAGTGTTGACGTGCTGAGTAAGAACTTAAACATGAACTCATTCATAAAAACAGCATTTCTTTGCTGTATTCTTTGACAGGCTCTCTCTAGTCATGGTTTTAAACATTTTGAAATCTCACAGTATCAACTTTGCTGTAGCTTTCTTTTATGCCTGCTACGTTACTGCAGACACGGTCATCTGAGCCATCCGATTGGCCAGCGGTAGGCCTATAGTGCACTTGATTTGCTCTCTGGGCCCGCCGGGAAGTCAAGAGTTTGTACCTTCAGACATATGAAGGGGTTCAAAATGGCAACAGTTCGCCTACCTGACGCGCAAGGCAGCTGAATCGGGTGCAGCTACCGCCAACAGCCCGAGACAAATAAATAAAAAGAACCTAAAGAAGGCTTTATCTTTGGGTTTTTTACAGAAATGTTTGTCGATCGACTGGGAATGCCTTGGGGATCGACCAGTCGATTGCGATCGACCGGTTGGTGACCACTGCTCTAGAAAGTTAAATCTCATACTTTTCTCTGTGGGCTGATATTTCTGCAGGCGGCAGTCTTGTGGCTACTGCGCGCACACACGCAGCTTACCAACCCAACATTGCTATTTAGTGACTTGTATTGCATTTGTCTTTACTTTTTTTGTACAGAAAGTTCATACAATTATCACATATGACCACAAGCACTTCTGGACATCAGATCGACAGTTACTAATCTCGACTTCAAATACAACTTCAACTCCAACTCAGCTGTTCCACTGTTCATACTGGACCTTATTCCTTAGTTCAATGGGCTACTAAAATGCTGCAGGCGGAGACGAGGTGGAGTCCTGGTGAGATTGAGGAGAAGAGCAAACCGAACGGCGCTCCCCTCCGTTCTATTGGCAAATGTCCAGTCACTCGAGAATAAGATGGATGAGCTTAGTTCGAGAGTCTCCTATCAGAGAGACTTGAAAAACAGCAATATGTCTTTCTGAAATGTGACTGGATGATGACGCTATGCACGTAGTACTCAGTGGATTCTCCATGCAGCGGAAGGATCGGACGGTGGCAATGGGGAAGTCGAAGTGTGTTTTTTTCATAAATAACTGGTGTGCTGCTTCAAGTGTGAAGGAAATCTCAAGCTTGATGCTCACCTGATATATAATACCTCATGGTAAGCTGCAGACCCTTTTATCTACCAAGAGTTCTCATCTGTAATTATCATGGCTGTCTACGTCCCTCCACAAGCCAACACCACTCCGGCACTAAACAAACAGAGGAAGCGTTTCTGGTGGGCGGAGACTTTAATTATTATATTATTATTAATGC